TGCTGTTCTTTATTATATTAATATTCATAATATTGTACCGAAAATCTTCCACTATTTAATAATTATATATCCTACAGCTCAGAATTTGCCTATGGCATATGGTCTCAGTTGTAGTTCAGATCGGTATAATTGATTTTAGTTCATATATTTCAATAGTTTTGGCTATAGTGTTGATACAGATTACCTTAGTATTATATATCTTATATTTATTTAAAATATATTACCATACATCTATAGTAACATTAATGCATTATTATTGAAAATAAAAACATCTTTGATTAAAATAAAAAGGGACTACTATTTGAAGTATTTACTTTTAAGAGCTATTATTAGCTTGGTTTTTATATTAGTAAATTGCTTACAGTGCAACAGATCAATGAAATTTGGTCGGGTCAAGCGACGCTTATCTTCTCTATCACAGTTTCGAAAAGTATATCATCTGCGTAGAATAAAACAAAAATTTAATTTGATGGTGCCAACTGTAGTCTGACAAGTCATCAATTTTGACCCGAAAGAGTAACTGTTTACTACTGCTGTTAGAGTCCCATCATTCACAAAGAAAACATACAAGATAGTCTTCCTATCGGTAAGTAGTCTACTAAGCAGTCTTATAATATAAACAAATTTTGTATTCTATAATTCAAAGTAGGAACTAATAGAATTCCATTATAGTTTTTTCTAGTGAAACATTTTTCAAATTAGGTGTTTCAGTGCCAATAATTATAACCATTTAAATTGAATACTATAAAAAATCTTATCAAAAAGAGTTTTCGATTTTCAATTTTCGAACGATTTCTATCTAATAGTAAAATATGTTTAAGATAGTAACTTATAATTTTATATATTTTACTATAGAAAAAAATACATGTTTATAAAAAATAGGAATAATAAAAAAATACTTTTTATTTTATTTTTAAAATAGTCATGTATAAATCGAGCTTATACGTAGTTTCACAAAAATTTTGATACATTATATTATGGTAAAAAAAAATATTTCTTATTAATACAATATAAATAATATTGTATATTGTAAATAAATATTGTTTTAATATTTTATGATCAAAAAAATTTAGTACAATATTTATATATATTAAATATTGATTTTAATGTAAACGAATTGTTATTATTACTTGTAATATATATATTATATAATCAAATTTAGATAAATAATTAAGTTTAATATTTTACAATTTCGATATATAAATATATATAATGCTTAAAAAGCATTATGCATTATTTTTATGCAAATATATCCTGTTGTACAAATATATATTGTATATACAGATTTATACAGCAATTCCATAATTTAAAACTAATATGATATTATTACATCTATAACTAATAAAATAAATTCTCACAAATTAATGTTAATTTAACATTATTATATATGTTATATATATATAATTACGGATCCCATATAGTAAATCTTTTTAATCAAAGAAAAGTTTCTTAAATCATATATATTAAATATACATAAATATACATATTAAATATATATATAAACGAATTTGCTTATTTGCTTAAAAAATATAGTATCAAGTTAAACTTTTAAATATTTTTTTACAGTTCATATATATTACAAGTCATTTTGGGTGTGAGAAATAACATTTTTAACCGAAAAAATCTTTTTATAAAATATGTGATATATTTTTTAAACACATGTGATATACATATATATTATTTATATAGTTCCGACACTAAGTACGTTACATTAGTCGATAAGCAAATTATGTCCTTAGTTAATTATGTCATATTTTATCTCATTTATATGGTCTCATATAAAGCTTTATATCTACCTTTAAAAGACGTCATTATAGTAAATCTATTAACAGCTGGCACTTATAAACAGCACCTATAATATTATAAATATTAATTTTTTCCATTGAATGGGCTGAAAATCAATCGATGGAAGTTCCATTTCAACATCGACTATAGATATATCCATAACACTCTCTAAGATGCAATAGATTCATTGAGATTAAAATCTTCTTGCAATAAGGTCTTAGTTTTTATCTGTAAAAATTCGTCATGTTCAACAAGAATGTACTTGTCAAAAAGAAGGCTGAAGTACCTATCCAAAGCAACATTAGTTCTACGAAAGAAACACAATAGATTTTGCTACAAAATAATATATAACAGAGGAAAGTCTTTATCTATAAACACTGTACTAAATCTAATACTAATTTACTCTTAAATTAATATCCTATTATAACTAGGAAGACAAAAAAGTTGATTTCACCATGAATTGGGGCTACAATAACATGAGCACTGTATGTTCTTCACATCCATCATTTGACTTATAACTCTTGTAACCTGCAGTGTCACTTCTATTATTTTCAATTTAAGTGTATTTAAAAGTATATCATCGTATCTTCAATCATCTAAATTGATCATTTCCATTATCTTGGATTTTTCGACTGGTTCAAGTGTAACCAGTAATTATCTGTAGAAACTCTGCTATGTCTAATATACACTCGCCTCTACTGCTATGTATAATCCATAATTAATTTATTAATTTACATCTTTTGCAATTCTTCATCTGTTCCATTATTCATCTATAAATTAATTTTTTGCTGTACTCTAAATAAAGTGAAAATTTGTCTAAATAATAGCTATATATAAGGTGGAGAAATTGTTTTATACACAATATATATATATTGTATATCACATATGTTATAAAAAGATTTTTTCAACTATTAACATAAGTAATGTTTAAAATAACTGATATTAATAGATTTCATGTCATTATGATTAATAAAATTTAGGTTATATTTAATTCAAACTATTTTCATATAACTTCTTTATTTAGTTTTAGTTAATATAATATTAAGATAAATTTTATACAAAAATAATTAATAAATTATTTTCGAGAAAAATTTTGGCACCACTTTAGTAAATTATTTTTATAACAAATATTTATTTTTAAAATATTAATTTAAAAATATTCTCATTAATATGGAAAGTTTTAATGTATATAACACCGAGATGTGACAAAAATCACTCTCACATCAATATTCCAGATATAAGTAATAGTTTTTTTACTTTTTCGATTATTATTAAATTAATAAAATAAATATTCATTGCATGTTTGTACATTTCATTTCCAAATATACTTGTATATTGTACAATAGTAAGTAGTCTCATTTTGTGTAGCATCCTTCAAAAAATGATACTGTTTTATAATTTTTTATAATATAATGAAATGGTCTATCAGCTATGAATTTTCTTGGCTGGACAAAGCCAAAGCTATCGGCGAAGAGGCCTAAGAATAACAAAAATTGTAAATATTTTTTAATAATAATAAAATATATATATTAAAAACTATTTAAGCTACGTACATTATATATACATATTTATATCTACATTCATCTAATGTTTAATTATATTATATACAAATATTTGTATTTGTTATTTATATAAATATTACTATTGCACTATAAATATTATATACATAATTGTTCCTATATCTATAAACAGAGATAGAAAATAATTATTTTATAATTTTTTTTGAAATCAAACAAAGTATTTTATTAGTTTTTTTTGTAATAATTATCATTGGTATTTGTTTCAAAAGATAAAAAATTGTTTAACCGTGATATAATTATTAATAAACAGTGTTCATTTCTTATAATTATCATCTCTATTTATAAATAATTTAGTGTGCATATAAATATAGATTACAATGTTATATGAGTAATGATTAATGTGAACTTAGTATTAATAACTTAATAATTTTTCGAAAATTGAAAATCGATTTAAATTGTGATAAAAATGTATACACAAAGATTTTATTTGTTTCAGTATTTAATCCAAATAGTTATAATATTGTTTTTTTTATTGTTGGATTTAAAATATATATATATCTGAAAAATTAAAAATTTTTATGTCTTTTCATTTATAAAGACAAGTGTATGGACTTTCACTCAAACTACTTATTTACAAATAATAATTTGACACTGACCCTGAACTTCAAATTTGACAGGGCACGAATTCAACCTTTGTTACTTGCAATTTCTAAAAATTATTTACGAATAATTAAGTATAAGAAATAACTCCAAGACTTCTGATAATGGGTGCTTGGCACTACTCGAAACAGTTGTACAAACAAAATTTTATTGTTGTAATTTAGTACTACTCGAAATATTGCTCTATTGAAAATAGACGTTTTTATTAAGAATTTAGTTTCTTTCGTCAAAACGGACGTTAAAATTTAATTTAATATAAAAATAATAATTTAAGTATTATTTGTAAATAAGTATATAGTACATATATAATATATATGTATGGAATATGTAGTATATAAATATATATATAATATATAAATTTATATATAGTATATAAATATATATATAATATATAAATATACATAGTATTTGATTAAAATTTATTATCATACTAACTTAGTTATAATTATATATTGCTGAATGGGTTAAAATATGTATAACAATCTCAAAACATGACTATAATAACAGTTAGTGAATAGATTATTACTGAAGCATTTAATATCTAGCCAAAAGACTTTTCAAAGGACGTGCTGAAAGAACATGAATTACAATGTTAATGAAACATTTAATCTATTATTTCAATGTTTAGCTTCTGTAGTTTTTGTTATTATTTCTGTTATAGCCCTGAGTGAACTGTTGGTATTATCAGAACGAGTGGTTCTGACATATTATATATACCTCTCACAACGAATTTTAATGATCTAAACATTTTTAAATTTTTATACAGAAAAACTTGCATATAATTATACTTGCATATTATTATATAAATTCATAAACGATTCGTTAATTTATAAATTTTGTTTTTATAAAAAAAAATCCCTGAAATTATTAAGGACCATTTTAAAGTTTTTTAAATCATAAATTAAATTATGAAATATTTTATTTAGTAATTTATTTAAATTTGACTCCATTAATTTTGAACAATAGTGTTAACTCTAATCCTGAGTAAATTAATTTAAATTTTTTCATAATATTTATTTCTCATATTAGTTTTGTATATTAAAATAATTTATTTTCCTTAATTTTGATTATTAATATAGTAATAAAATAAATAAATTTTGTTTTATAAATTATATCACTAATTTATAGCTCATCATGTGATTCTATACTTTGGACATTGTCAAAGGTCTTTACTGATCCCACAAATATTGGAATTGGTGAAATTTCTTGTTCATCAACATTTACTAATGGCATATGATTTATAAAATAATAATATGGATGGTCAGCAATGAAAGATATTGGCTCTGAAAAGTTAACTATTCCTCGTTTTTTCCTCATAAGCATTCCTGCACATAAAAAATAGACAGATACAAATACAAGACAATTATACAAAGTCAACCAGACACAATGGATGAAAAATGAACGAACTGAGCAAATACTTATAAGTTAAAAAATATATATTTATAGTACATGACAAATGAATAAAAAAATCTTTATGTTACCTGTTGCTGCAGCTGCTTCAGTGCCCAGTTCGTTAACTTCTATAAAAGCTTTATGCAAAACTTTAGAGACCAATAATGGCTCTGAATTTTCAAGCATTTTTCCGAACTCAGCGTAATTAGTAAACATACGTGACATACCCAGCTAGAAAATAATTTTCTTGTTAATATTAAAGTTATATTTAAATAATTGTCGATAAATATATATAATAATTGTTTCTACCTTAATAATATCTATAGTTGTTACTATAATAGAATATTAAAAAATAGTGTTCTCGCTATTGGTCAATTTTTCATTATTGTTTAATATTGACAGATTAGTCTGTAAGAACACTATTTCAACAATAAAATAAAAAAAAAAATAAATTATATAATATAATAAATAAATGAAATCTAATTGAAATAATATATTTTAATAATATATGAAGTTTTTGTTATTATTTATTATAAAGCATAATTATAATATAATTATAAAATATTATATTCTTATAACTATAATTTTTATTATTAATATATAGAATATTTTATTGATATCAATAGTTTTTATTTTAATAAAATATTTATAATTTATACTATAATAGACTAAGCTAATAGTATCTATAGTTTTTACTATAATAGAATATGGAAATAATAAATATTTACAGACCTGCTTGAAAGGTTCATTAAGTTCAATTGAGAATTCAGCTTTCCATTTTGGTATTTTTACAACAACTTCCTGGAAGGATAGTTCTTTTGTTATATCTGATATTGGTTTGTTAAGCAAGGCCTCTTCTAAAGCTTTAAGACCTGTCACTGATTTAGGTAAAATGATTAACATTGAGAGATCACATTTCTTGTAGGGAAGTTCTATAGCAGTTGCATTTAAGTCTGGTAGATCTGCATAACGAAAACGATTCTTTTGTGACATCATTTGTACCTGTACACTGACACCATCGTCTATGTAGAAGTTTTCCAAACGTGTTTTCGTTATTTCAAATTTATGTTGCCAATTGCCTTTAAAATGTACAGCATTAAGTAATAATAAACGTGTGTCGCTACTCAGACCGCTAGCTGGTATCATATCCTTTATTAGATTATTAGTTTTAGATTCAATCCATTTGTTAATGATATGTGCACTTTCAGAACCAGAAGCAAAATTAATTTCTTCTGCGCTCGTAAAAAATTTTGTTTTCAAGATTTCATTATAATCAATATTAATTTTAAATCCATTCATAACATAAATTTTGTTCGCAATATGTAATATTTCACTGTTTTTATAAAAATCCAGAGTATCATGAAAAGTTCCAATCCATTCTTCTTGCTTTTTTGGTAAACCAAGTCCTCTATCCATTTCTTCAGCTGTTTCACCTTCGGCTCCAAGCCTTGCCATAGCGGTACATGTTTGTATAGAGAATGGTGAAAAAACGATATTATCGCTGGGTCTGATAGCACCAATTTTATTATACATATGTATGCCAAAATGGCCTAAATTATTTTTAGATGACATGTTTTCGTTAAAATCCGAATCAAACGTATGAGCTTGATATAAAATTATTAGAGAAATAAATAGTTGCAGCCACCTTCTGGGCCACAATACTGTAAAGATAGAAATTAAAATTGTTGTGTCAATATTGAGTTTCGGGGTAATATTTTTTGATCATTAATTAATACAGAAATATTTAAAATATAAACCAAATTTTTGTTTTTTAAATAAATGTTTGAATAAACATTGTACAAATAAATTTTAAATTAATCGCTAAATAATTTATTTGTAGAGTGTTTAATTTAATAAAAAACAAAAAATAAATTAAATTTATTTAATTAAAAGTCATATTAAAAATAAATAAATAATATTATTAAAAATCAAACCATATAGTTTTAACATAAAAGTTTAATATATATAAATATATGAATATAGTATGTATAAAAATAAAAATATAAATACAAATATAAAAAATATAAATATTCAGAAATATAAAAATGTTATTGTATTATCAGATGCATTTTTTATTGTCGATTACAATGCAATTAAAATTATACCTACAAAGGTTTTTAGACTTATAAAGATTAAATACTATTTATATGGTGGAACAAAAGCCAGCGATTTATACATGATCTATTGAAATAAAATTGGCATAACCCTGAAAGTATAATAATACATACATAAAGTATTATCGAGTGCTTTATATATGTATGTCATACTTAGTTGGTCTGAAGCAAGATTACTTTCTAAGCAACTCTGCTTCATGTGGGTCGTCTTCAGTCTCGTGCAATAAATGTAGTTAGCTCTCTTTTAACTTTATCTTCCCCCTACATCTTGTTTCTACTATTGCCTCTTCCAATATCTTTTTTGTTGAAATATTGCCTTTTTTTCATGTGTGCAGTCGTTAGTTGTTATATCACCAACTCGTGGAGGACCAATAATCTTACGGCGTGCTTTTCTGTTTAAGAGCTCCTAATCAACTTGAACAATTTTTTTGTAATTTTTCTTCTTCTGTTATTCTATTCCCTCAGGACATGCTTAGGACATGCTCTTATAATGTACACAATTTCATGATTTTCGGCTATCATTCTAAGTGTAGTTTGCTTAGAAATGATACATGTTCCCTACACCTATAATTAAGCATTAATTGTTTTTTTTCCACCACCTTAAACTCCTTTAACTTGACCTTCCCCTTACGACCTGTTTCTCCAACTACCTCTTCCAATATATTTTTCGTTGGAGCATCGTCTTTCATCCTCAGGACTAGGGTCATTGCCAACCCAGTGTAACCACTAAATGTTAAACCGTCAAACCGTAGAGGTCAAGATCTTGTGAAGTGTTTTCCTGTTTAAAATCGCCTAATCAACATTGGTTGTAATTTTTCTGATATAACTCTAGGCGTAGTTTGGTGTTTATAGTTGAGCCTCAATTGTTTTTTTACCAGTTTTCCTCGATGCCTTCATATGACAATCACAATCTTGGAGACTAAGCACTTGTCGTGCTACATTTTTCAGTAGATCTGCAGAATGTAAGAACGTTCGAATGTCATTTGCGTTTGCATATTTCTTTACAGTTCGGCATTGCAGTGCATAGTTATTGTAGAAATTACCTAGGACATCCAAATAGTTCTCAACAGTAGCCGTGTTTATTTATTTTCAATTATATTATGCCGTTGAAACGTAAAAATATCCACAAGTAAACCCACTTTAATCACTTAAATACACAATTTTTACAATTATGTGACATATGTTTGATAATATCGTATTATAATTAATTCACCTACAATTTTTTTAAATGCACACATTTTCAAAAATTAAGAGAATAAGAGAAAATATCTCCTATGGTGTATATAATGATCCTGAATATATTTTATTGTTATATTTCAGTTTATACAATTTAATTTCATTTAATGAACAGTTGATTATATCTTCTTAATGTTTTTTTTAGAAATTACTTGAATTTGATTACATATTATTTATATAATTATATATTAATACTCCCTTACATTTTATAAAACTGTTTTTAATTTTTTAAAATAAATAAAAAGTGGTTTATATTTGATAAACTCTACTGATTACTTATCATTCTTTAAGTATGAAAAAATCAATTATTAAATAATTAAATACGCCTCTGCTTTGAATATGAGTTGAAGTAATTTAACAAACTCATTTGCTAACAGTCAGAAACCTACTAAGTTATTATTGAACTACGCCACACATGAATGTAGTCATTACAAAAATTTTTATAATTCTGATAACAATTCTTGCGATAAAGTAAATTTTTACGATATCATTTTAGTGCTTTTTTTACAGTTTACTCTTTTTTACTCTCAATTTAGTAAATATTTTTAATATTGTGTTCTCAACTAATATTGAGTGTATACGAAGTAATATAATATAACGAAAAGAGGGTTCATTCATAAATGGTCTCCTAAACTGTAATGGAGCAAAGATGTAGACCATAATAGTTCACAACTTTTCTAAGTTAGATTTTAGCTTAAAAAAGTTAACCTATTAGCGGTGAATGATGGCAAAAGGAACTATATGTCGGCTATTAGAAGAAATGTACTTCGCTCGGACGTCGATTTAGTGACTGGCGACTATACTTTCGAATCTGTCAAAAGATTGCAACAATGATATCAGCATGGAGATCAGCCGAAGAGTCACCATTGCTAATAGGTACTACTATGGCCTCGGTACGCAATTGGCATGTAGAGCTCTGTCTCGACAAACGAAACTTATGCTTTATATTTAGCTCATCCTTCCTAGCGCAGAATCACATCCTTCCTAAAGTATATCACAGAACGATGAAGCAGCACTGGAAGTGTTCGAGAGAAAAGTTTTTCGTAAGATTATTGGTCCTCTACGAGTTGGCGACGATTACCGCATAAAAATAGACTACAAGTTGTATGCTTATTATCACATTGATAAGATTCATCGAATTAACATCAAGATGAAGTCGTAACGGACTTGATGTACGAGATTGAAGAAGGCACGCACTCAGCAGAGGCACCTGGAGAGACATGCTGCATCAGACCGAAATCTGATAAAGGGTTGTTATGGCCATATAAGAAGAAGAAGAAGAATTTTGTTAGCAGCTTATCAATTTGAAAGTTTTTTCTTACATTTAGCTGATTCGGTATCATTGGCGTATTTAAGGATAGAATAAAACGGATACAACCTTTCCCACAATATAACCTAAAGATAAAATAAAAACTATATAATTGTGATATTCTTTATATTTTTCAACTAATATTAACTATATATAACTAGTATATCTCTCTTATTAAAGCTGGCTATGCTTTAATAAGAGAGAAACTTTATGTTTCATTTGGTTCATTACAAAATTAAGTAAAAATCAGAATCGAATCTTAAAAAGTATAAACTTAATTTATAATAGATCAATTAGAAATAGTTTAAAATAAATTGAAATTCAATATAATACAATTGTATAGCTATATTTCTAATAAATATCAGATAGAAGATACTTTTTTGTTATTGTCTTATTTTGAAATGAATGTGCAAAGAAACATAAAAGATTCACTGCACCGTGAAAAATAGGCTATTCGATATTGACAGAACTCAAAGGCTTAAAAAAATTACATCTTGAACCATGATTACCGTTTAAACAAAAATATTTAGTCACAAATTTCAAATATTATTATTATTAAGTAACATAAATAAAATTGTATGTGAAGATCAAAATGTACTTTGGGATATTATAAACCCATTTAGAATTCGTACATCTCTCAAATTCTGATTTTATAGTTTTACTTCGGTCTATTATTAGAAAAAAGTACTAATATATAGCACTTTAGAGATCTACTCATATCTTATAGTGATCATCAAAGATGTCAATCGCCCTTGTAGTCTGAGTCTCTGTACTCTAGAAAACATCACTATGACTTACAAAATGGAATAACTTCAAGTTTTGTTATGCAGCTGATATTATAAAGAATATCTCTATATATTCTAATATAAATATCATATATCATAAATATCATATAAATAAATTCTAATATAAAATCACTTGGCTAACTGAATTATGCATTTATTGTTAGCCAACGAAAAGTAATCACGCGCTGATAATATCAGATATAATGTTTAGATCTGTAATAACACAGTAGAAATATTTTCATTATAATGCTACAGATAAGCGTTGTTCAACGCTGAAAGGCATGACTCTTCCATTCATTCATTCTCCCAATTGACCTGATAAATTTATAAACTTCGCCAAGTTATCAATTTATGATAGACATTGACAGTTGAGGTGGAGTACAGTTTGCTCCTCATCAGCAAAGCTCTAGATGACATTGTGACGAGGTTCCAATGTGAGTTGTATACTGACACACCTATCTGGGTTGTTCAAGAAGCCCGGCATTCTCAAATTGTTATGATTGTAGTATTTACAGAAATTTGATAGCAATTCGGCTATCCGAGAAGATTACGACATTACATCGCGGATCTTGTTGTTTGGCGATATTATTCTAGACTTTTAAAAATTTGTTTAAAAAGTCTGGTTTTTTGAATCACTTGATTCTTCATTATTTATATCGGGCGGAATTCGCTTCTCTCCGAATTCCGAATAAAGTGAATACTCCGTTTGACTAATTCGTTAGCATTGGAGTTTCTACAATATCATTGCGTTTCGAAATCCATTTTCGGGATTTATTTATAATAAATCAATATAGTTTTACGATAAAGGAATTAAATTTTTAACAAATAATTGTTCAACATTGAAAATATTTTTTATTATCTATATATATATATTGATACTACGAAATTTACAATTAAATCTGAATACAAGAATGCAAGTATAGAAATGGCGCGAAATTTTTTCATTGTAATAAAATTTATTTTTGTTTATATCCCGAATTTTTAGCAGAAGTGAATCTAATTTTTATAATATATATTGTCACAGTTTGTATTATAATATAAACATAGTATTATTAATAACTTATTTCTTAAAAATATTTGAAATAAAAAATAGAAATTTTACATTAAAAAATTTTTAAATATTTAAAAAATTTTTTTAAATATATTTCACTGCTTACTCTCTCTCATATACCTTTATTATTTATTTATATATTTTACTTCACTTCAAGTTAAATTAAGCCTGGTTTTCTTTCTTGATATTAAAGTAAATTTAAAAATTTCACTAAACCAACTCATCGGTCTTTTCGTTGAGAAATAGAAACGAAACTGATGAAAAAAATTTAAAAATTGTGTTTATATTAATTTTAACGATCCGCTGAGTAATTTTGTTATCAAATAAAAAAATGCGCAAATATTTATAATTCTAGAAAAATTGATTGCTCACAATTTTATTTTTCAATCTTCTTCAAGATAGATTTGTAATGCTTTGTTTAAGAGAGTTTATTACACATCAATTAGTTCATACAAAAGAACAGCTAAAGAGATCTCTAAAAAAGTAATAGTTTCAGGTATGTTTATAGAACACTAAGGGTGAGTAACTTGAATTGGTATGTAATATAACAAAAATATATAATTTTAAGATATATACATATTTATTGTTATACATGTATAACCATTAAAATCCAATTTTCTACAGCGCGAAATATATATTAAATTACTTCATTTGAATAGAAACAGAATTTTTATTATATATTAAATAAAATTTATAATTTTTATTTTTAATGAAATATTTCGTAATATTTCGATTATAATATCAAAAAGAAATTTTGGATTATATACTACCATATACAACATATGGTATATGCGCACATTTGTTTATAAACTTATGAACCTTTAACAATTAAATATTATCGCAGCAATCAAATTCTTCGTTTAAAATTTTCTTGAAACTTTATTATTTAAATATATAAAAATAATTTCATAAAGTTTAAACTTATTAATTTAGAATAAAAAGTGGGTAGGTATATCAGACACATACACCTGTTTAATAACATTGTTATTATTAAAATGGCACTCCTACCACTAAAGGGATTAAAAAAAGGGACCAATGTAAACTTAACGCTTGTTCTAATATTATAGAGAAATTTGTTAGTCTTCTCAACACCCTCTAGTACATTTCTTATTGTTACCACATATAAACTCCATTGCAAGTCAGTTCCACATAGCTCAAAGTTCTAAGTTTATAAGTAAGTGAAAGTTATTTTCTATTAAATGAAATCATTCACATGAAAAGAGTTGGTTCTTCTTAAATCTTATTAGGTCGACTGTATCCAGGTTCGATTTGTTACTCGCAACTACAAAACGCGGTAAAGGACGTCCGCAGCTTCCGAGGAACGACCAGCTGACCAACGATTTGAAGTCGTTTGGTACTACCAACTGGCGACAGCAAACCATTAATCTAGCTGGCTGGCGGAGGCGTTCGACGCAACCAAAGGCAACTCACGTCTGTAATGGCCAACTAAGTAGGTAAGTAACCAGGTTTGCCAATTCTTTAAAGTAGAAATCTTCACGGTATTAACACTTTTTTGGAAAAAGTCGTACAGTAACATAACAGTTTCTCAATCGTTTCCAAGTTTTCATCCTGACACTCTCAGTTGTCAGTTTCGACTTGGGGTGCCTAATTTGATCCCGTAATTTATTATCAAACATTTACTGCTAAGGACAAATGCTAGCATGTGGACATATGACAACTTCTTGTCAAAGTCAGGAGCGTATCTGTTTTTTGTGGCATGTAATAATGTAACATAATAGTGTAATAAGTACACATGTGCTTATTTAAAATTTCTTTTATTTAAAATTGTTTTATTTAATATTTTCTTTTATTCAAACTTACTCATTTTCAATATTTTTATTCTTTATTGATTCACAGTTTTAAATTCGTAATATTTTTTTTTTTTATTTTTTTATATTTGTTTTTGTATATTTGTTTTGTTTAATTTTTTCTTTTCAATTTGCAACACAATTAGTTAATATTATTTTATATGATGTTTTTTCCGATTAAAAATTACGTTTAACGAATTAAAATGACCGACTTTTTAGAACGTTATCAATAGACAAGTATCTTTTAATAACAATAAATCCGGATGAAAGCACAACCGTAACGCAATGTAAACGACACGAATCCCCAAAAACACTAATTTGTAGAAATGATTTTTGTTAATATGTGTCTATTAAATTCTATTTGTTATCAGTGTTTTTTTAACCATATGAGAATTGACATTTCTATATGAGTATCCAATCTGATTTTTATACTCTTGATTTCTTTAAGTTCCGCTGATTTTTGTTTCTATATTTCATATAAATAAATTAAAAAAAAATAGTAAAATATACCTGGAAACTATTATTGTATTCCATAATAAAAAAAAAATTGTTTTTATTGTATAAATAAATTTATGATAGCAATAATATATATATGTTCTATAGAGTTATTTTGAAAACTGTGTCATTGCAATTATAAAATATTAGAAGAATCCATTTATGATATATAATAAGTTCGTTTTTTTAATTAGAAATAAATAAAATAAAACAGAAAAAAATAACAGATCCGAAGCTGTTTTTATTAAATTCATTTAAATTATTTTGGAACGAAACTGATCTTGAATACATTGATAAGTGATAAGAATGTTAAAAAAAATCTTGATAATATTTTATAAGAGAATTTGGCATAATATTGAGAAATACTTATTGAGAGACATCATACGAAATACATTTAAGCAGCAAAAAAATCTCATTGATAAGATTTTATATATAAAAATAATAACAAGAATACAACTTATAAAGGGTGTTAAATTAAGTTAGTTAAGTTAATTTAGTATGGTCATAATTAAAGATACTTATATATTATTTTTCTCACATATGCTAATTTAAGAAAAATCAAGGAAAATAAACTTTTTGAATATTTCTTACCTCTATATTTTGAATAAATATAATAATCTAATGAGATTGGATAGATAATAATGATTGTATAATAATTAATTATATTATTATAATTATAATAAAATAGGTTATGTTAGAGTGGTTCACCAAACCTTGCTTGAGCGCCAATAATGGCCCTTACTAATACTACGGACAAATATTGTTCATACTCTAGAACAGAATGCTTACCAGAGAAGGTAAAAATGACCTATGCAGTCAGTGCAGTGACAATGTAGAAAACACCACTACTCTCTCCTTTAAGTAAAAGTGAACAAACCTGAAAAGTCTATAAATCTTGCCATAATCCACATTTTAAGATATAACAGCTCTGTTGTCAGTTCGTTAGGAAAAGAGGCCTTAAAGACTTATAACCTTGTACTGGCCTAAGATGAGCACAAATACATGAGCTGACGCACAATTTTCTTCTCCTCTATAAATCTAAACAAAAGTCAAGTATATTTATGAAATTTGATATCAGATTGCCTGTCTGAGAGGACTTTGATTTACATCGGTAATGTTGTTGCTCCGGATCCATTTTGAAAATTAGTGAATTGTCATTATTTCTTCCTAAAAGATGCTGCAATTATTCGGTATTCTAAGTAAGTTGCTAAAATTCATTTTTTTTAGATAATATGCCATTACCGACTGTGGGTTTCATTCAGTTTGAAGCAGTTACAATAAATGTCGATCGTGTTAGCATAGAATTATCTAGAGTCCATTTATAGACTCCGCTATCATCAAGATCCATAAATATCTTTATTTATTTTGAATTTCTATTTTTTCCAATTGAGAGGAAAAAAAATGTCTAAATACTCCAAACGGTTTGAAATTCCATTCAATTTCTTCTTTGCAGCAAGGAGGGATATATTTATTAGAATATATTATATGTAATACATGTTGAATGAGGATTAGCCTCGATGGACTGTTGTTTTGGGCTCAAATGGTGTTTAAAGCGCAGTGTTTCTCTTTTTTCAATAATTTTTTAAGCAATCCAAAAACAAATTAAGAATGTATAAACACTTGATTTCTCCTTAATTTCTACATATTGTTGACAGAAGTTTATGATTTTATAAACTCTATATTTTATTAAACAATAAAATGATGTGAATTTCACTATTCCAGAACTGTACTATAAAAATAAATTTCTGGTAATTATAATATTAAATGAAGTACTATATATAAATTAACTAAACTATTTTTTTGGAAAAGTGCTATTAAATTACTTTATGCCATTCTCATTAAACTACATGCTTATTATACCAGAATAGATTCAATATTGAAGATAACTTATTATTAATTAATAATAATACTTGATGTATATGCACTATTTTATTTTATGATATAATTGCAAATAAAGTTTGGAAAGTACATACTTTGCATATTTAATGATTTTAAAAAAACCCTCAATTTGTGAGTCACGATACCTGTAGGAAGTAATCAACAAATAATTGAACATATAAATGAAAATCGTTACTTTTAAAATTTTTAATACATTTGTATATTTAAAAACTATATAGTTTTAAATATCACGAAATAGTATGCGTTGTGAAAGATGTTCATTTCATTTTGTAATTTTTATTGTTTATTCAGAAGATACTACACACCTTCACACTGCAATAAAGAGATAGATATGAGATAGAATTTAATTGGCTTACACTCGGTAAGCAAATTAGGAATGTTCTGTAATGAACTTGACTCATAAATAAATGTTTTGTTAGATTTATAAATACAATTGTGTTAATTTGCGAAATCGCAAACGCTGTAAACAAGAATATAGGGAGCTACCCAATGTTTTCTTCTGACATTAGCTTTATTATTGCTTATATTAGTGTGATGATGTTAAAAGAGAATTTATCTTACTTTAAAAACATAAAAGAAATAATGACAGAGATTTTGTATTATTAATAAATCAAAACAAATGGTGCTCTGTTGGTTGGTGACGAAATAAGTTTTGGGGTCTCTTATAAATTTTGGGAGATTACTTTTATGATTTAGTTTGTACTTATAAATAACAAAGTAGTCAAAACAAATACCATGAACTCAGAAGAACAGTTTTTACAATAGAAAGTTATAAAAATAATTAAATAATAACGCTCAATAATAAAGACAATTCAATAAAAAATCTGCACCTTCAAGAAAAACATTACTAATATTTATATTTTTAGAAAAAAAACATGATTTTAATTAATGCAGAATGTCGGTCATAGATTGAAACTTTCTATACCACTTTCTTTTATAAATTCAATATAGCTGTTACTGCACTATACTACTAGAGTTTGATATTTTAATAGTATGTTCACATTGCCTTAGTTAAAGCGGTTTAATTGATTTAGGTCGCTGAAGTCGATTAAACGTACGAAGAGATTTCGTGCTTTCCAACTTAGTTAAAAATAAATTAAGGGAAATTGTACTAAAAATGTCGAAGGCAACAATGCAAAATATATTTTCCAAAAGGGAAATGACTAAAATTTGCCGTATTTGACTCATAAAACAAAATATAATTAAACACAAAAAAAACAAGTGAAACAAAGAGGTAAGAGTTTTTTAAAATGCTTGTTTTTTTATAAATAAAATATATTTTATTGTTGTTTAAAAATAAAAAATATAATTAATTAATTTAATTATTTTACAACTGGTTTATGATTTCGTTCTAATATAAACACAACAAGTGAATTTGTTAATAAAACTTTCGCAGCAAATTAACAAAACTCCCGAAAAATGTACGAACATAAAAGTCAAGTACGGCTTTGTATCAGTTGGTTAAGGTGTGCTGACTCTGAGCTTCAAATTTGACAGAGCACAAGCTTAATTCCTGATACTTGCAGTCTCAAAAAAAATATTTACAAATAATTAAATACAAGTATTATTTCCAAGATCACTGATGAAGGTTATTTGGCAATACTCGAAACAGCTGTATGGTTAGCCAAAAATTTAAATAATTAAAATAATATAAAAAAATAATTTTTGTGGTTATAGTTCACTACTTTTCGAAAACCTCTTCATAAATAAAATTTATAATTGATATATAAAAATATATGAATGAGTTTCCATAATATTTGATATCATTATACAATGTCATATATAATTTAACAAAAAATATTTATTACAGTTGGATATCAACGGAAATGTAAACAAACAAAACTCTTCTAGAACTTTTACAGAGCTTTATGACATAAAAAACTCAACATACATAAGCCAACTTATGCTAGTTGAACGTCCAAATATTAATTGATTGATATAAATTGATTTAGTTGCAGTGCCAAAATTCTTCTACACCTCCAACCGCTATTTAAAAATGAATATCTTAATGCTAAGACCATGAACATGAACCTATATAATCAAATAATTCGTCCGTCACTTCTATATGGATGTGTAGCGTTTAGCAAGGCTTCAAACACTACCATTCGCCAGCTTAATATCACACAAAACCAGGTTCTGAGAAAACTTTTCAAGGTACCATGGTACATTAGGACGAATGATTTCCACAGGGACTTCAAGATTGTTCCGATCAAAAAATATATAAAGAATAGTGCCTTGAAATTATTTACGAAAACTGACCGGCTTACCAACACCGCGTTATCGTATCTCAGAATGGTTACAGGCTCCCCGGAGAGGTATGCAGATCTGAGGTCAATTGTTGTTTAGTCTGATGTAGTGTTAAACAATAAACCAGTTAAGGCGTAGGGAGGGGTTATGAAGAAACCTCGCAGTTAATAGAGAGTAAAAGTGCTCAAGTGCACTGACTTAACTAACCTTAACATAATTATAATATTTCATATAATTTATTTAATAATAATAAAAACAGATTACATTATTTAAAATGATTTCATATAAGCATTTCAAAATAAACACTCATTGGTGCAACATTTCAATTTCTTAAGAATGTTGCTATAATTCAGTTAAACCTAAAACAATGACTCTATATAAATCTGTATTGGATCCATTCAAATGGTAGTAGCTATTTATTTACATGCATATATACTTATGTCTATATATGAGGTAATAATAATGAACATAAGCGTACAATGATTATTGTTTTACTCAGACAGATAAGTTATTTTTATTTTGAAATTGAGCGCTTGTGTAAATATTTTTGACTCTCAATTGTTCATTGTTTGTTTATTTATCTTATCTCAAAGTAATATGTTATGAATCATAAAAATTTCATAGATTCCATTTAACCTAAGAGTGTGGAAAAATTTGCAAACTACAACAATTTAGTTTAAAAAGTTTATGAAGTAAGTTCGGTTGAGGCGTTTAAATTGTTTTCTTAATCTTTGATTTTAATTGCAAAAAAAAAAAAAATAAATTAAAATAAAATAAAAATTAGTTTAAAGGAAATGCAAACAAAAATTATATATTTTAATAAATTATAATAAATTATTATGGTTTGGAATAAATTTGTTTTTATATTATACACAGTTCGAATTGTAGGTTTTTTTCCAATTATTTTTGCGTGCAATAAATTCTGAAATTATCTACCCCCAAAACAATTAAGAACAAAATTTCTTCATAAATAATTTATTTTTCTACTTAATTTTAGTCTATGTTACTCTTATCTATGCAGAATAATGTTTGTTTCTGGCGTAATTGATTTTTGCTGTATTTATTATCTGTTGTCTATGGCAGAGCAAAAGTAGATGTATTCTCGGATTTGCATATTTACTAACGAATGACTCCGGGTTTACACAAATTTGTGAAAACCAAAACAAAAAAAGCAATTTTCAGTGAATATAAAAGTTCACTTTGTGTGGTGAATCTCAGCAGTTGTAATCTCGTATTGCATGTATTAAGTATTAAAATTGTGTTAAAACAGAATTCAGTATCTAAAACCAACAGAAGAGTCATTACCACTCAAAATGAGGCAAACGATATGTAAGAATTCGCCTGCAGGTGTTCACTTTTATTTTTAAACAAATTTCTTCATCAATAAAATTTTACAAAATTACAAATATATTGTTAATAAAATATATAAAAAAGGTGCTCTATTTGATAAGTTTAATTAATTGTACTACAATTTATATATTTTTTGTTTAATTGCTCTTGCCAAGGTGGAACTTACGTGTACGTGTTTTAATTTTCAAGTGATTTTTCTGATATGATTAAAATAAAATTTAAAATAAAAATGATTACTTCATAAAAGTAGGAACGCCAAAAAAAAAAAATTTAATTAAAAACAAAAATGATAAAATAATGATAAAAATTAAATTAAACTTAAAATTTCTGAATGACTTTAATATTTGTTATCTGTCAATTATAAATATCGTGGTTCAAGATTAATAATTAAAATCCTCAATTACTACTTTATTAAGTATACATGTATGTGAAACTATATACTAAATTATATATAAATAAAGTGAGAATATATAAAAATAATATCATAACATCAAAGCTTGCGTTTATAAAAAATAATTACAATATAAACATATTGATAAATACGTGAGTAAATCATTATCCTGTTAAGTTCTTCATCTGCTAAATGAGTTCAAATTTGTGAATAAATAAATAAAAGAAAATAAAAAAATCAACTAGCCGATAAACACAATATAATAATTAATTTTTGATCATCAAATTAAGAAAATAAAATTTTATATATAAAAGATAATCTAAAATAATGTACTATTGACATGCAATTGCACTAAAAATTCAAGGACTTTAACTTGTTTTTATTAACAACCTTCAAATCTATATAACAAAACATGTTAAGCGGGATTTGAAGAAAGAAGCTTTTAGTTATTTCTGCAAACTAAAATATACAAATATTTATTTTATATATATTTATATATAAAAATATAAACTATATATATTTTTTTTGTGTTTTATAATAAAATCAATATTAAATAGAAAAATTTTATAACAGAAAGTTTTCAATTTTTAACCAAACTAATTCTTGGGATGATAGTTGTGGATACTGCTAAATATCTATAGTCAGTGAACTTATGAATCATCTGTTTTAATTGTCCGTATAAATTTTTCAGACTACAAATATTAGAAATTGAATCTTGTTAATTTCGAATATATACTATTCACTATCGTATAGTATAGTGAATATTAGAAAATAATGACAATGATAATGACAAAAAGTCCCTTCTTTATTAAATGACCTATTACACGGAAACACGATGTACATTTATTTTGTATTTTTTAAATTTATAGTTTTATTAATTTTGCTTGTTTATGTGTAAACAACAATTGCACTTGCTGTACTATTTTTAAACTAAACGCATATACTACAGCTACATAAATTGACTAAATCATTATATAAAAACAAATGTTTTTTATCATTTTTAAGAGTTTATTGTTTTAGCAATTTATTGTTTTAATATGTTAACTAAAGTCTTTTTAAAATAAAAATTGTTTTCAAAACAGCCTGAAGAGATGATTAGTACTCTAATGATGACTATAGAATATAATTGAAATATTAGTCTAAATAACCAATAATATTGGTTTTGTTTTTAAAATGGGCTGAAGATGATTAGTATTCTGAAGATGACTATAGAATATAGTCGTAATATTGGCTTAAATAAAATTTTTTAAAAGCAAAATCTTTTTTTTAAAGTATATTATTTAACTATTCAGCAAGTACCTCAACTTAAAAACAAAATTATTATTAAAATTTTTAAGAAAATAAACAAAAAAAAATTAAAATATATCAAACATTTACACTACTAATACTTATTTCATGAATTCTTAGTAGAGCATAAGGCCTCCTTAAATTCAAAAGAATTTTAATTATAATAGTATCCGTATAGAAAGAAAAAAATAAGGAGAAAAAGTGCTGTTGGGATTGTGAGAAATAGAGAATATTTTCTAAAGACAAAACCTCCTATAAAACATTTTTAATTTTAAATAGTTTTTAAACTTTTGTTTAATTAAAGTCTTAATTGTTAAAAATGTATTCTGTATGTATTTTAAAAAAGTTTGTATTTTTAAACCAGAACTTTGTACAAATATATTGCCGATTATTTTGTTTATATTTATAGATTTTATCGAACTGATGTTTAGTTTGGGCTAATAATTTACTGACGCAGTTCTATTTTGAATTGGGAATTCACACTGTTTTAATATAATCTTAAACTAAAAAAAAAAAACAAACAAATATGTACTAGTTAATCATATTAAAAAATTAAGATAACGATTATTTACCAAAGAATAGGTTATAAATATTTGCACATATTAAACAATAATAGCTACTATTACTATATTAAAATATAATAGCTTATGAGTTATTACAAATAAATTGTTATATTAATTAAGTAAATATTTAATTAACTTTCATTTTAGTTATTTCAATTTGTACCATAACAATTCTACAAATGGCTACCGCCGGCACAACCGCACCATCCTTGAGCGCTGCTCGTAATGCGTTTGCAATGGACACTTTTAAAGAAATTGCGGTCAATAACAATGCAAAGAATGTAATCTATTCACCTGCCTCAATACAAGCATGTATGACCTTACCATTCTTTGGTGCCGAGGGTCAAACTGCAACAGAATTAAGAGATACATTACATTTAGGAGCTGGAGACAAACAGTCGATTGCACAAAACTATGGTGACTTTATAAAACGCGTCTTTAAAAGTTCATCTGATGGTCCCCAACTAACTATGGCGAATCGTATATATGTTCAACAAGGATTGGAAGTGAAGCCACATTTTAATGAAATCGCAGCAAAGAATTTCCAATCTGGTGTGGAACAAGTGAATTTTACTAATTCTGGACCAACAGTCAAACAAATCAACTCGTGGGTAGAACAACAAACGAATAATAAAATTCAAAATTTACTTTCGTCGGATGCAGTAAATGCACAAACAAGTTCCATATTGGTAAATGCAATATATTTCAAAGCTAATTGGACCAAACAATTTAGTGAATCGTCTACGCATAAAGCAGACTTCTCATTAAATTCTAGACAAAAGGTTCAAGTTGATATGATGTTCAATGATGATAACTATAAATATGCGGAACTATTCAATTTAGATGCGAAAGCTATAGAGTTACCATACAAAAATTCAGAAATCTCAATGTTAATTTTACTGCCAAATAAAGTTGATGGTCTTCAAGAATTAGAGAAGAAAGTATCCGCTATTGATTTAAATCAAATTACAAGTGAAATGACTTCAAAGAGTGTTGAACTGTTTCTACCCAAATTTAAAATCGAATTTGACATTGATCTCAAGCAGTCATTACAAAATGTAACTAAAATATTCTATAAGTCTTGAATGGAATTATTATATTGATTATATATTTTTTTCTTATAGCTTGGTATTAAAACTGCATTTTCTGATAATGCTGACCTTAGTGGCATATTTACTACGAGTGTTCCACAAAAAATTTCAGATGTTAAACATAAAGCATTTATTGATGTCAATGAAGCAGGTTCAGAAGCTGCAGCAGCTACATGTAAGTATACACCCTACATTGATTTTTCTATATTGTTTGAGTATAATTTAATATTTTCATTTTTACAGATATTAAAATTGTGCCTATGAGTTTAAATTTGAATCAGAAAACTTTCGTTGCTGATCGTCCATTCGCTTTTTGGATACGTAGCAACGACGCTGTTTATTTTGCGGGTCATGTTGTTTCACCCTAGAAAGTGAATCTTTAAAATTTATTATAAACTGATTGTATACGTTTTTTGTTCTAAAGAAATAAAAAAAATTTAAGTAAATAAAAATGAGAGTTAACTGGAGTCATGTTTTTATACGCAGTGCAACGTTTTAATTGACGTTTTAATTAAAGGCACAATAATTGCATTTACTATATATAAGTTAGGTTAGATCATACTAGCGATCCTAAGAATCCACTTAAGCTAGTTAGGAGGTTTAAAAGACACCTTAAATATTTAGTAAAGCCCTAACGCTCTTCTAAGGGATGTCCTGATGCTGGCAAGTTCCTCCAAAAAGCTAACCACGTAGCATAGTCCGCATAATAAATCTATAATCTTTATATTGTTGCAGACAACCCATTTCTCGTCCCTAATGATGGTGCATACCAAAAATGTACTATTATCTTGATTTTTGAGTTGCTTAAGTCAAACGTTAATGTAACGGTACAAATTTCTTTAAGTAAGAACATGAGGAACCCAAATATCTAGTTTTAAAACTAAATCTAACCGTTTCAAATATGAATTAATGGTCGAATTCGATAGTTTTAATCTCTCACGAATTGTTATCCGCCGGTTTGCATCAATTAGTGACCTTGTGTTTTTATCAGCTTTAACTGGTCTTCTAGAACATGGTATATTTTCGTCATCGAAATTGGTTGATCGATATTTTGTTAAACAATTTTAACACTGGCGATCTATCGATACAGCTTCTCCATACAAATTATTTAATTTTTTATCTTGCTTTAACATTTCTATATTTTTTAATAGTAAATAAGTATAGTATTCCGCAAATGTTATTTTTTATCTTCCACAATTGAAAGGGCGTCAACCCAAAACCACTAAGTAGAATCAAAGGAAATTAAAAAAAAAAATGCTTTGCAGTGTATCTCTTAAAATTTATAATGATTATGCGGCTTTAGTGTGAAGTTGACTGTGAAAAGTACAAGAAAGCCCTTTGTTAGGAAAAATCGGGATTACTTATTTACTTATATTAAATTTGGAGACTTAGAATTTTGTGGAACTTTACAGATCTTTTTAGTTACAGAAAAGCAATCTATTGACGATTATAGGTGAGAAGTATTTCATAAATTTTTTAAAAATATTACAATACTGTTTTGTAAATTAATAAATGAACCTTTAAGTATAAGTATGAGTCAATTTTAAATATATGTATATTAATTTCCAACAAAGATTTAAAGATAATTGTAAATTATGTATTTTAGTCTTCCCAAGTAAATGAAATCTAGTTTCTCTTCGTGGTGTATATTTTTATATTTATTTGTTTTTATCTCCCAAACGTATTACCTCATTTTCTACATTTGTTATGCTCTCTTCTTTCGTCGCCGGTATTTCGTAAACATACTGAGATACACAAACATGTTTTTTTTTATTATTTATGCCACAATGCATGAGTCAGACAGACAAACACGAAAAGAGCGAGAAAACAAAAGCAGTTTTTATCTTAAAATATTTTCGTCATTTCATTTATAAGAAAGTTTAATAAATATTCGTTTAGATATTTTCTTTATTTTACATGTATATAAAATAATGAATTATTATTATTTATTTTATCTATTTTTAATATTAAACACAATTTCAATTCTTAATACACACAAAACACCAATTTATTCTGCATTTTGGAAACAAACAAACAATATGGATAAAATTTCATTTTTTTTAACTTACTTGAATATTTATTTGACCCACCAATGATTACTATTTTAAAGTAAATTCAAAAACTAAAGTTTTATTATTAATAAATTCTTTTGTTTTGACTTTATTATATTTTCTATAATTTCTTTTAATATTTTTCTGAAGAGTGACGTCAACTTCTAACGAACAAAGTTTTCAATCTGAAACTTTTTGCATGAGCAACAAGTTTTGTAGTAAATTTACAAGGTGGAACACAATACTGTCTTATTTTGGCAATTAATATCAGGTAAGATATTGAAATATTTATTATTTTTTATATAATTTTTTATACAGTTATTTTTTCACTGTTTTGTATTATTTTCCAATGCAGTTATTTTTGCAATATTGTAGTTGTTGTTATTGTTTCGTATTTTTGTTTTGTTGTTGTATTGTATATGTAATTATACAGGTAACATTTGCAGAGTATTTCATTTGAAAATACTTTAACTGTAAAAGGTGAGTTTTTGAACATCTATTCCTTTAGTTTGGGAGCATCTTTTTTAATATATTTTAGATTGTTTTTCTGAAAGTTTTTCTTTGGTTTAAAAATTTTTAAAGTTAAAATATAATATATTGTATTTAAAAATAAATATATTTGAAAAATGTTTAAAAATTTTATCGGAAAATTATATTTTACTTCAAATTTTTACTATATAATTTTTTGCTAAAGAATTTACACGCCATTTTTCTGTAATTGGCCTCTGAAACGAACTACTACTTTTTATACTTAAGTTTTTAATATGTATCTGTTTGTTTAAATTAAGGTAATTCTTATCATTTTGTTCTTTATTCAGTACATGAACTTAATATATTTGTGCAATAGTTTGGTTTTCTTAAATTGATTTAAGGAAGATTAAAACTAAAATTAGAAAATAACTAAAAAGCAATTAAAAGTTGAATATAAAAAATAATACATAATTTAATACATTTATATTTAATATAACAAAATTATTTATTTTTTATAAATAATAAACGATATCAAAAAAAAATATATTATTGAAATAAAATATTTTTCATAATAAATATATTTTTTATAACAATGGTTTTATTTCAATGCAAACAATGTGCTTTGAGTTAGTATAACCATGCCATCATATAATGACCTCATATTTTCGACTATGTAAATGTTTATGCAAAATAAAAATGTCAATTTTTCCTGGAGCTTTTTCTCTTAAACTTAAAGCTTTTAAAATTTACCCTACACTAAGTCTTTCAGTAGTAATTCATTTTTCTAACAAAAATTAATATCAGTTTTTAATATCAACTGTTGTTATAAATTATTTTGTAAAATAATTTAATAAAAGACATCTAATTTTATAGTTAAAAGTGATATTCTCTAATATAGTGAAAATCATGTGGTACAAGTCCCTGAAATCTTTGATTATTATCACAATGAATCCCAAACTCAAATTCATTTAATTAAATTCAGTTATGACATGATTTACTTCACTTATGTTAAGCTAGTACAAAACAAGAAAATGAGAAAAAAGAAACGAAAATAATAAGTGTGTGTCAGCTAACAGCACTAAAAAAGACACAGTAATAATAATATAATTTAATGAAATCTGACAGACTTACTAACACCGCATTATCAAATCTCAGAATGGTTACAGGCTCCTCGTGGTGATATGCATATCTGAGGTCAATTATTGCTTAGTCTGATGAAGTGATAAACAATAATCCAGTCAAGGCGCAAAGAGGGATTTTGAAGAAACCTCGCACTTAATAAAGAGTAAAAGTGCTCAGGTACACTGACTCAACTAGCCTCAATATAATATAATAACTTATTATAACTCTATTCTTCAAAACATACAAAAAATATATATACTATATATCTTAGCAGACTACGTTATATATTTAGTTATTGATACAATAAGAATATTTTATATAAGTTATGACATTAAAAAATTTTAATAAATTAATTTAAAATTATTGTGTGTTTATTTATTTATGCAAAATTAATTTATACTTTATAATGGGAAGCGGTAAATATAAGAACAATATTTTCTTATGAGATGTTATCAGAAATAATTTAATGGTTTACATATTACAGTACAGTTCCAAAGTGGATTATTTATTTTCTTCATAATTGGCTTATTCTCAACTTTAACTATCAGTCTTCCACTTCACCACGACAATCGCACTGCTTTTGCTATGGAAATTTTTAGTACCGCAGTACTTGAACGTACCAACAGAAATGTTATTATATCTCCAACCTCACTTGAAACGTGTCTTGGACTTGCATACTTTGGAGCTAATGGAAAAACCGCTGAAGAAATGCATGAAGGACTAAAATTAACTACGAATGACAAAAAGATCATAAGTCAACACTATCGAAACCTTATACAAAGTAGACTACAAAGCCCATCAAATGGTCCAGCACTTAAAATAGTGAATCGTATTTATGCAAATGAGACCCTGGAAATTAAAAGTGAGTTCAATGAGATTGCCTTAAACTATTTTCAAGCCGCAGTGGAGAGAGTGCGTTTTGCCGATTCTGCAAATACGGTTGTAAGGATCAATAATTGGATTGAACAGGAAACGGAAAATAAAATTAAAAATTTGTTAAGAAGTGACGAAGTAAATCAAAACACTACTGCAATACTAGTAAATGCTATATACTTTAAGGGAAAATGGGCAAATCCTTTTACGAGATTTACAACACAAAAAAAGAATTTCTCCATTAATACAGAAGAGATTGTGCTCGTTGATATGATGTATAATGGTGATAGATTTAAGTATGCTGAATTAATGGATCTTGACGCAAAAGCTTTAGAATTGCCTTATAATAACTCAGACGTATCTATGCTGTTTTTATTGCCTCATCGTATCGATGGTTTAGCAGAATTGGAACGGAAATTAACTGGTATTGACTTTGGAGAAATTGCAGCGCAAATGAAGTGGGAAAGCGTGGATTTAAGTTTACCTAGATTTAGAATAGAATTTAGTATTGATCTTAAAGATACACTTAAGAGGGTAAGTGGTAAAGGTTTATATTCATTATACGTATACATAATTTTTTTCTCATTATACTTCAGTTAGGTATGGTTAGCATGTTTAATAAGGATGCTGATTTTAGTAATCTGTATAAATCGAATACGTCATCCAAAATTTCACAAGTAAAACAGAAAGTCTTCTTGGATGTTAATGAAGCCGGCTCTGAGGCAGCAGCTGCTACATGTAATTATATTATTAATTTATAAATATTGTAATTAAGTCTCATTTAATTTGTAAAATTCTCATTGCAGTTGTCAAATTTTATTATAAGAGCTTCAATCCCGATCATAAAATCTTTCAAGTCAATCATCCATTTGTGTTTATTATACGCTCCCCGGAAACAATATATTTTTTTGGTCATGTGGTACAGATTTAGGTACTGTATCCAAAGGTTACAGTAAAATGTGTTATTTTATTATTGTTTAATAATATTTTTATTTTATTTTTTTATTTTTATTTTCAAATTCTTCAATAAATTAATTTTTCAACTAAAAAAAAAAATAATACGAAAATATTTATATATTTAATATAAAATAACTAATTCCTGTCTAAAATTATGAACATATTTTTATATGCTATATAAAATTTCTAGAGCTACCTGTCTTTAGTCCACTTTTCCTTACTTCAAAAATATATAAACTAAACTTTTTGCGTCTTTATTATGATAGTATTTGAGACTTATATATGGTACCATTTAGAAATTTTTCCTTGAAAAGCAAATTATTCCTTGTCTTCCAAACACCCTTTCTAGTGGCATCACTAGGTTTCCCATAGAAAAATTCTATCAGTTATAAAAATTACTATAGAAATCTTCCGAGGGTTTGATTTTTATCTAGAAAGAATCGGACAGTGACTTAATAAGTGCTCAATTGTTTCCTTCATATCTCTGACCTGACTAGCTTTTAATAAAATCTCTATTGGGCTCATCAAGTGTTGTCTTGTACATATCTCTTACACAATGACTAGTAGGGTCAGAATTAAGTAGATGAATACTACTGATTGTTATACTTATGAGAGCTCCTAAAGGAGTGACACATTTTTGAGCAAAATTTCCTTGGTATGTGACAAATTTGTTCTATGAGTTCTAAAAATATGAGAAAAAACGGATTCATACTGTCAATAATAATCGTTCAGAAAAAAAATTGCTAGTATTAATAATCGAAATATCCATATATTTATTTTATTAAATAAATATGTGGAATATCTGTAATATATTATTTAAAAAATCTTTGCACATAAATCAGTTCACAACCATTAGACCATTAGAGTTAAAACCAAAATAGAGTCGTCCTGCTTAGTTCTGTTTTATGTGCAAAAGTAGAAAATGACAAGAAGTAAAAAATATTTTAAAATCGATTCTAAGTAATTTCATATAAATTTAATTTATTTAAGATATTTTTTTACTGTTTCATTTTGTTTGTTTATCATGCATATTAAGCAGTTCTCTTGCAATAGCTGTGTGCGTTGTAACCCAAACTGAGTTCAAATGTATCTCAATGTATTTGACTGAAAGCGTTTGATTGTGTACGACATTAAGTGAATTTCAATGCAAAATAAATAATGCCCGCTGTGATTCTTACTTACAACATTGTTACAACCACAATATTGTAATATCGGCAACTCTGTATATGGGATGCCCCATCAATAGCAAAGCATTCAACATTAACGAGAGCAATCATAAAAGAACACCAGAATCAGCATGAAGATGTATTCTGGTTATTGTTACAGTGGCGATGTTGTTGCTTACGTGGCTTCCATGGTCGGTACTGGTGTGAAGTAATGCTTGTAGTCTGTGTAACGTCGTGTACATTTCTTGTAAATATTGGTATTGGTCAGTGCTTGAGTACAACAATAGCCTTGCGATGTTGGCACAACAGTAGGTTGTAGCTTTATGGTTTAGCAATATACAAAATACAACGAAATCATCTAATTACACAATTAATTGCAATAACTGCGTAAAATTTTGAGGCGTCAATTTCCGGAATTAAGTGAACGCTTCAGTTTATTGATAAAATTGGTCAATTTCTTGTTATGGATTTCTGTTATTATAAAAAAGTTATTTAAATTTGAAGCTGAGATAATTTAAAGAAATAATAGCCAAATATAAATATATGACTATGGTGCACTTTAAAAAAATCTAAACTAATATAGAGATTCACATCCTTCTGAGTAAAACTAGAATAAACAAAACTCTATTCAAAATTATTTTCTAAAATTAATTAAATTTGTGGAGAGAAAATGTAGAGATTGTGTAGGATTAGGATCGAATTGGTAAAATTTGTGGCGGTGCTAAAAGGCCAAACCAGAGTTGTTAAAGTTGCAGGGAAGAAAAATATAAAATGTAATTAAATATTTCCTATGTAAACCATCAAGTCCAGTGAAGTTAAAAAATGTTTATGATATGTTAAGGTAAGTTTAAGATTATGTTTAAGATATATTATGATGAAGGTGGAAAACCTACATATAGGTCTTACAAAAATAACTTTATATAATAACCTACACCGTTGGTTTTAAATAAAAATTCTGTTTTTAGAGTTTCAATTTACAGTGTGATAACAAGTTGGTATTTAGGCTATACTTAGACCCAATAAAAAACTTTGCTATTCCCATAACTAACCAAATTCTTTGATTCAAATTAAAAATACGTTACAATTATTTAGGATTCATTGCAAGACTAAATTTATTTGTTCCAAACGTCATTACAAATGGAAAGAACTATGTTTTTTTGTTAATTTTTTTCATTAATAAGCTATTTTTCTTTTAAGACTGCTTTAAAAATATCCAATTATAAAACAAACCGACTAAAGCTTATTGACTTATTATAATATATTGTATTAGTTTATTATCATTTTAAATATGCAAATAAAGTGAGATAAAACAATATATTCAACTGCTGTGTTGATACCTACACTAAAACGATTTTAAAATCTAATATTGTGGCGGTGACGGTAACTTGGAGAAGTGTCCATAATATTTATAAAAACATTCTTTAATTTTTAATTTACAAATGAAATTGTTAAATAAACTATTATTAACTTAAATTAAACTTAAATTGTTGATACCACTGAAGATGTTGGAAAAAATCCAACGAAACGTCGGGTGAAAAAATGAAATAAATCATTTTTTTATTTGCATTCTAGTCACAAGACCAGAGTAACTTAATAAAAATTATACTCTAATATTCAATTTAATCAAAAACACGTTAACTTAACTAATTAAAAAATTTAAGCCTACTAATTGCGTCTAACTAAAAATATAATTGCTTCTCTAATAAGCAGTTAAATTAGTCTAATCTTTCAAAATTGCTGGTTTCTAAGAACTACAAAACTGTATAAGTCCAACGTAGCGTCTTTTATTCCAACTTTCAGTCTACACATCTTTACATTTCAGAATGTTCTATAAATGAAAAATAAAGAGAACTTAAATAAGTTTTGCAATTTGCATCTCATTTCGCTGATTCAATAGAAAAGTCGCTTGTGTTCTGGCTTCACACACCTGCAGACTAATTAACTGAAATTGTTGGAACTGTGGTTACAGAAATAAACTCTTTGTTTGAAAATAATAATGAAATTTGACAGAAACATCATCATTTCGCAACCTCATCACGTAAAGATAATTTTCCTGGCGGTTTTCTTTTATATTCCTTTCCCATAATATCGCTGGGAATATTTGTGCGTTGATGCAAGTCAATTCGGTTTGTCATATTTGGTATATTGCAATTATTGCCATGGCATCTACGCTTTTCCTAATGACAATTTACCCTTTCCTAGATTGGCTCATTTATTGTAGTGTTTCTATTCAGTAGAATTCTTGCACCAATTCTAGAAAATCAGTACATGACGTAATTAACCACAAGCGTACTTTCTTCTATTATTTCTTGCTTAAATTGAATGTCAATGCCAATGCCAATAGCTTTAATTGCCGTGAAATGTGGTCGCATCAGTGTAAGATACAAATTGGCAAGGTTCAAGTTTGAAATATCTAGTAATGTCAGAATTTATACTTTTATTCCATAATGAGTAAAATTTTATTGAAATTCGCTCAACAAAATAAAATCTACAGCTCAAATAGTAGCCAATAAAATCAACGGCATCCTCAACTTTCTGGCTTAGCGGAAAACGTCCTTGCATAGCGTTTTAGTTGTTAAATTTGTGAATTTTCATTTTATATCTGGCAAAGAAACAAGCTTATAATTAGCTCGTAACCAAGTTAAAATTATTTCAGAAAGTGTAAAACTTTTTAAATTTTAGTGCCAAATGAATGCGGAAAATTTTTTGAAATGTGTTACTCATACGCACTGGTGAGCGGTGCTAACGATGTTGCTGCAAAGTGATGTTGACAACATTTGTACGTTAGTAGTTTGTTATTTTTCGCTTTTGTCATGATTCATCGTTGCTATGGTTTGACAGGTGGAAAAAGATTTTACGGAAATTTGCCATGGAAAAATCATATCCGATTTTATTTTTAAACTGTCAGTTTGCATTTATGGAGTCTTAATTGAAGAGATAGTTTTAAATTAAGGTGAATTATAAACCTCCAGTTTTTCAAATAAAATTATAAAGCGAAACACAAAATGTATTTCTATATATAAATAATAATAAAATAAATATTTAAAAAATTTAACAAAATGATATAAGAACGAAAATTACATGAAGACAATAGTGTAGGTGAACCTATAATTCTAAGGTAAAAATGTTTGAAACTTCTGTGCTTAGAGTTAGACTCTAAGACCTGTTGCGTCGATAAAAAGTAGTATAGAACCTACTTTAAAGATATTTAAAAGATCTATGCAACTCATAAACTATTTACACTTATTACAGGTCTTATATTTAATTTTAATATACTTTACACTTTTCATTCTTTTCGCAGAATCTACAGCTTGCATCCGGTAGTAGGTGTTTTGGTTTACAATGCATTGCTAACATTCTTATGTTGATTGTGTTAGCGAGATCATAAACATACTTACATATGTTAGATGCTTTTATTATTTACAATAGAAAGAAAAATATAACATCCCTTATAAGTTACTAATTTACACAATTAATAATAACGATTCCATAATAATGACGATTGCAATTGTTTACAGCTCGTTTACGACTCCCGAAGCATGCGGGGATCAACCAACAACTGCTTTTCATTTACACTTCCGTTCTCATCAGGGTTACCATCGTCTTACAATTGTAAGTTTTTCTTTTTATAAATGCATACAATCCTGGAGAAATTTAAAATATGAGGTACTACGAATGATTATTCAGAAAAATCGAAGGGAAACGCGGTGCAACCATGGTGCATGGTGCTATAGAAATCTACGTAGATATTTCTGTTTTCGATCTGTTTTCGTGTCATAACTACAAACAGAAATAGTAACCTGCGTTACCACCTCAAAAAAGTATGTCTGAGGAGTATATATAGTATATATAG